CGTTGCAGTAACACATTTTTATATAAATACGGTGAGTTTGAATAAAAGATTTAAATGTTAACGTGAAAATAGAAATAAATGTTATAATTTGTTATCGTATGCCGCAGAATTAGAGGGAGACCAATTCTTTTCTATGTATGTATATAAATTTAAAAGTAGCAATGTTTTTTTATTGTCTCAGACACAAACAGATGAAAATCACTGATAAAATGGGACACGTCGTTCCCTATGCGATATGCCAATAATACATTTATAAAAATAGTAAAACAACTAGCGTTTCCAGCAATCAATTTATAGCTTGAAATGTTTGACATCTAATACGGAGTGTTTCCAAATAGATAACCATCGGCAGACGCGTAAAGTTTTTTCCAAAATGTACGGCTGTCAAAGTATCAAGCTCGCATCACGTGTTTGTAATCACTTTGAAACGCTACATTCAAATCGTGAGTTTATCAATCCAATGTTGCCGTTCGGTTTAAATATTTTGAGAGCTCTGTGTCATATGCTACTCAGTGCTATCGACTTACAAATCAATATAGACAGAGGAAAGAATAAACGGTTTCAATTTACGATGAAACCTGTTAAAATTCCATGGAAGCACAACAATTGGTAACGGAAAGATATCAAAAAAAGATTATCCTTTCACATGATTGATTCCATTCTCGATTGATTAGCGGTACACGATGATAATCCGTGACTACGTAAAGTATTATCGACACACATATACGACTTTCAATTCTTGGTTAATGTGTGCTCATTCTCATTCAAATAGCTTTATTAAGTTTCGCTAAAACAAACGGCTTTTAAACGGTAATAGAATGTATTAAATTTCTATGACTAGACTAAATGAGTATCGGATATCGATTGTTTATCGAGCTAATAATCTCTTCGAGGTAATTGTTCTAGGAAATATAGCGTTACACTGAATGGCAACTGATAAAGTAATTAAGGCCAGTAAAGCCGATTATGAAAATTGTTATAATACTCTTCGCGCAGTTGTTTTACGTGGTTTGAATAGAAATGGCGGTGGCTGTCACTTTGCGAATTAAGTCGCCGATAAATTAGGATTTCCATGAATAGTAATATTGATTGCACGTGACAACTATATTCTATGGAGAAAAAGTGCCCCGTGTGATACCCTGTTCCATGGAACATCGTCTAATTGAATACTTAATTAATAGACAATTTACTCAATGGGGTGAATTGTTGGAGAAATTAATTACCTCGAGAGAGTTGTCTTTGCTGGGTAATTAATCACGGTGGTAACCGCGTTTCGTTGACTTACACTGTCCAGTAAAAAGACTCTCCTTATAGATCTGTGGAATTTTTAATTTCTCTTCACATTCACGATGATAAGTAGACTTTTTGGCCATAATTTTAGAGCTGAAAAGCCAAATAACACGCAGAGAGAAGTCCCCTATTATGAGGGAAGCTCCTAATGTGAGACAGCGGAGTTTCTGCTAAATTAATAGGCATCATCTGTTGGTTCCGCCATGAAATTATTGCCCTTGGAGTGATATCTGCTTAGTGGAAAATTGATTAGATTTTTAGATTGTTAGATCGTGCAATCGTTGCGAAAGAAGATTTGTGATTGAATTTGGGCGTTGAAAATCTACTATCTCGTATTAGAATCCCATCTCATAATACAGGAATTTCTCCTCGGTGTCTAAATAATAGATGTATATGCGTAAAAGACGATTTAAAGACGTCTTAAAGATGTCTCTTGGACATGCGTGCTGCATGGGAAATTTGTTATCGAAATAAAAACGTATTTTCGTTCTCGTGACGAAATGTTGCACGTCAAAAGCATAACTGACATTCTTATGACGGATATCCAAGTGTCACGAATGCAATTGATGTTCGGCTAATGGAAACAGCAATATGCGGGTATCTGCTACTCTAGATGAAAGGTTAATTATGCAATCGGACTGCTTTCATACAAATACTGTTTACAAACATGTAACCTATGTACATTCCACGTGTTAATCATAATTCTGATATTATTGGATAAAACATCCTATCATCGTTTCCGATAAATCACCCCGTTATGGCAATTATATCAATTGCCTACTACACAAATCTCATAGACCAGATATCATTGGGGTATTCTTCATCAGAGAAGTTCTATTACACATCATTAGCAAATTACGACACACTCAGTCATAATAATTGCCAAATTACGGAGGCTATGCGTAGACTATATTGCGGAGTTATTAAAGTACAAAATGAAGTGGCTAATTGTGACGTAGCTGAATAATTCCGATAAAAAAGTGGATAAAAGTTATTATCACTTATATCTTTTACTTTCGTTAAAATTAACAGTCAAGGCTCACGTTAAAAAGCATATTTCGTTAGATTGGGGGATACACGGGAAAAAAAACTGTTGAATTAAACGTTAACGTCACGGGCTGCCACAAGCATAAATAATTCACTTGTATTTGCTGTGTGGACTTAAATTTTAAGCATTGAACTAAATATCCAGATTATTAAGACAACCATCTCATGTTTTTTCTTCATTAATACTGATGTTGTTTCAACGATATTATTCCAATTACACTGATCTTGTTGATACATAAATTTTTTCCGTGTAGTTATAGTGCGAGAGTTTTCAATTATCTTTGACGTGTCAATAATTTCATCAGAAAAAATCGGGTGTTGTTTACTATATCACGTATAAGAACAACATATTATACATAAAGTGAGTTTCGTGTCCAAACACCAGCGTGAGAATTTAAAAAAGTCGCTAGCTCTGCCAGTTTCCCGACGTTTGAGAAACCCTGGCAGAACGTGTCCGAGATCCTGTCGCGCTTATACGAGCAATTCCGTTCTCCCGACCTCTGGACAGGCTCTCACACACCCGTGTTGTAGTAAACAATGCCCCGATGTCTAGCCGGGACTATGAACGGCTCACGTCTCACGTGTCACGTTCGGCCATTTGCAGAAGCCAGAGCGGAGATAGCCGGCCCGGCGGAGAAATTCGTGAGGCCTGGTAGCACGCTGCAGCTCCACTGCCTCGTAAAGAAGTCGACGGAAGTGCCGTCGTACCTCTTCTGGTATCACAACTTCCGTATGATCAACTACGATGTTGATCAAGGCGTCAACGTTAGCACCGATCTCGTCGGCCGGGAGAGCTGGCTGGAGGTGCCAAGGGCGTCGGACCGCCACTCGGGTAATTACACCTGCGAGGCCAGCAACGCCCAGCCGGCGCGCGTCCTGGTGCACGTGTTCAAAGGCGACAATCCGGCCGCTATGCAGCACAGCATGGCGTCGTCGCCGTCGGTGATGGCCTGCACCGCACTGCTCACCATGTTCGTCACGCTTAAGCTGGCCCTGCAGACGAACTGGACCTTGTGACGTGCGTAAGCGCCGAGACCTTGCGAAAACCCAGAGTGTGTTAGCGAAATTGTGTAATATTTATCGTGTCGCGTGATCTATGTTCGTGCGAGGATGTGCCCTAGTTTCGATCGCCAAAGTTAGTAGAACGGCGGGCACGGTTATGGTGGTTGGCGGTTGGTGGTTCCAGTTAAAGATCCATCGCTGTTACCGGAACTCTTGGAGGGCTGCAAGATTGGCTGTGATTGATTACTACCCCATTCGAACGATCGACCTTGTTCGCCGCCGCGCCGGACAAAGTAGCACCGGAAGACCAGCTGTGATTATTTTGTGTCATCGGGAGGCAAATCCATTTAATCCATTATATGCACGTCTAATCATAGTTTCAGCGAGGAGTACGCAGCAACGTAATATGCTAATGCAAAGCAGGATAATTGTCATCATCATCGCGAGATTAGTAGTGATCGATCATCGTGTGCTCGGCGGCTTCGTGCACCGACGAAGATTTCTGATCGGAGAACAGTGTGTCTAACGGAAATCAGTATAATAAAAGTATATAACGGTAGCTCATCTCTTGTTCGCGCGTGTATTTGAACGGTCGCCCGTCGGACGGGGGAGGAAAAGTTGAGTGCCAGTCTGGAATAAAGTGCCACCATAACTTCCATACGAGTCACACTATATAACTCATTCTTCTGTCGATCGATCGCTCACATTCCGTGTCACATGTTGGAACGGGAAATATTAGGTCGTAATGCAGAGGCGGGCGAGGTATCGAGAGTGCCGGATTAATTCCCGCTAAGATCGCGTATTCACGATCGATCGTCTACGACTCGCGTGTCCCGGCGCGTGACGGAAGTAGACCAAGACAGATACTCGTCAGTCCGGCTAATCCGACCAAGAGTTCGACGTATCATATTGACAAAGTGGAACTTGTACGCGCGCGCGAGCGCGAGAGCGAGTGCGATGCGTGTGTGAACGTCAGTTAGGGAAAATCGCGAGAGATTTATTTACTCTTACGCTCGCACTTCACCGGGTGATACATATGTAATTAAGTTTAAATCGACAGGAAAATCAGAAGCGCCCGCTCTACTTGTGACGCGCGCGAAAGTAAGATCGATAGCGCGAATCTCGAAGCTGTCCACGATGTACGAGCATCAGCGGCTGCCCCGACGGGGTGCATTAGAGTGACGACGATGATGCATTCGTCGCCACGACGGGAGCATCGTTAATCGCGCGGCACCGCCGAGCCGCTACCTCCTTCGTTTTACGTGGGGTGTCGTAAATACGTTGCGGAGGAAATATGGCTCGGCGAAGTTACGGAAGTAACGTCTTTTCTCACGGGCGGCCTAAGATACTTTAGTGGCGGGTTAACGATGGTTAACGAAAGTCTGGGTGCAATATTATCCTCCTTCGGAAGCTCCGAGCGGTGCTTTGATAGGTGGTAAATGGACACGAGTGAAAGTAACGTCGAGACTAAACAAGCTAAACTTGCTGCTGTGTGTTCCGTAGAAGGATGCAACGTGCGCAAACACCTATTACGTCCCAGGATACGAAATTATCGTGCCAACATTCTTTTATAATTGAAAGCTCACTGAAAACCGGTACCAAAGGATATTGAACCATTCGCATCAATAGGCAAAAAACGTGTTTGCGTTTGTGTGTACAAGTTAAACTTACTGAATACAAAATATCCCCATATTGTATCGTGATATTTTTGGAATGCAATTTGCTCGTTATCCGTAAATTTAAATATTTCGTAATTTATCGTTAAAGAGATTATTATTTTTAAAAGAACTGAAAGTACGCATAGATTAAATGCAAGAGCAATCGCAGAATTCGATGAATTCGCGTCTATCGGAAACGATGCGATCGGTTTAAGTAACATTATACGTAATTATCGATAATAAGCGCACCGCAACTGTGCATGTTGCTTATCTTTTATCTCCGACTACCTAATTAGATGCGACATGCGCCCAGTATCAACACATCTTGTTATCTCGCTCGATATTCGCGAAAGAATGACGATGTTCCTTCCCTTAAATATGCAGGAAACTTGTCGATTAAATTAACAAAGCGGAATTCATGCATACTACCGAGTGATCTATTTTATTAGGGGTATACAAAGGTTATAGTCTTATTTTTTATCATTTTCTTTTACTTACATACAGAATGTCCCACGGGAAGTTGCTGAAACTAAACGATTGATTCTCTTCTGTATGGTTATCTTCTCTACGTTTTCAGAAAGGATTCCACGGTTAATGGTTATTAAGTTGAGAGTATGCAATTTTGTTCCAGCTGTGGTAGAAGCATAGTATGTTCACTCTGTGTCGGTCCTTTGATCTTTTCGGTCCCGATCACGTGGTATTCCGCTATGATTTTGGTCAGGATTCAGCGGCGTGTGCGTGTGCGTGTGTGTGTGCGTGTATGTATGCACAGTTGGAAAATTTGTGATTTCTTGTTAAAACAAATGCCGGTTAAAATTTTTGTCTTAAATGTTTAACTCCTTCACGTGTTGATTTAACATATTGCTCTTGTGTTAATTGACCTCGAATGTAAAATTATTAAAATAACTGAAAAGAAATGTTAAAACAACACAATGTGTACTTACTTTTTAATCTTACACAAGACATATGTTCTATATAATGCACGAAGAGTTAGAAAGTACGCTTTTTAAACGCACCTCGATCGTGCAACCTCAGATGGCTAGACATTAATGACGCCGTGTGTACTCAAAGCTACACTACCGCACACTGATTTCACACTATCGCACGCACAACTTTTCTCTTATTGGTCCGACCAAAACAATGTCGGATACGCAGAAGGAATCGACGCAAAACGAAACAAATAACGGAGTGAACATACCAGTTATACCATAGTGACGGGGGATTGTATAAAATGCTAGCAAGCGTCACACTAAACATTTAAGGATGTATGTTACTTAAGTTAAAATAGAGGGAAAAAGCTGACAGAAGTTG